CAGTAGTGATATATTATACTGTTACACAAACATAATTACGACACACTTAGCAGTAGTGATATGGTGTACTGTTACACAAACATGATTACGACACACTTAGCAGTAGTGATATGTTGTTCTGTTACATAAACATGATTACGACACACTTAGCACTAGTGATATGTTGTACTCTTACACAAACATGATTACGACGCACTTAGCAGTAGTGACATGTTGAAATACAAAATAAAAAGCTGTCGATCACTCTTAACATCTATAATTATTTATTCAACACGCTAACAAATGACTTTTTTACAGAAATGACTGTTTAGGCAGCGTATTATTTACAAAACTTGAGACGATCTTGACGATTTTTTTTTCTTTCTTTTCAGGTTGGATATCAGACATGACACACAGCTACATGGTGACTTTCGTCTATGCTGGCATTCTATTTTGCCTGGGATCATTCATTATATGTGTAATTCAGATACGCGCCTACTGCAGTGTATCGAAACGCAATAATCACATCGATGAGTCATCAAACCCAGACAATTTTACAATCAATGGTTGTCATTCGAACAGTAACTTTGTATTTGATACCAAATTATGATTCCAAACATTGATTTAAAGAACAGAAGTGAACTACATGTTTACTTAAGGATGTACTCTTCTGAGGTTTCCATCACGTTCAAGTCTCGTTTTGATCTGGTGTAACGGGTTTTTGTAATATCTATCAAATTATGATAGGTTTAATAGTAAACACACATCTGGAAAACATGTAAAAAAACTAGATGTCCGTTGTGTGTAGATTTTTTTTCACAAGAAATTGAAAAAAATGACCAATTTGGCGGCCATTTTGAAAAAGTGTATTTATGTGAATTTCTTGCGCTTCACAAAGGGCAGAATTTCACCTTTTTTGACACTAGATTAATCACTTAAATTGTCATTGTGTCACCATTTTTAAATGTAGCAGGTTCAATTTTGCTGTACAACTTTATAATGTTCAATATGATTAAAATAATATGCAAAAAAGTTGAAAGTTATATATTATTGGTATTTTTTTTTTTTTTACATATTAGGGTAACTGAAGCACTTTTGATTTTTGACCCCGAAAAAGGTGAAAAATAACACAAATAATAATGGGACAAAAAAGAAGCACACCGACCCCCCATTTGTGTGGCTATTTTAGAAAGAGAAACACATGTTCTTTTGATTCATTGAATACCAAAAAATGTTTAATACAGGATTTTTTTATATCAAGCGTTAAATCTGCAAAAAATGGTGAAAAAATGTGTATTTTTCATTAAAAAATAAGGGGTAGGGGTAACTAAAATCGCATTTCTGAGTAAAATGAATAAGATTATGAAACTTTATTTCCATAATCTAAAAGAAAATAATATTTTTATCAATTCTACAAACATTCATACATATCTGATAACACACTTGGAAGAAATTGTATGAATTTGTTCTGCAAATGGTCAAAACCCGAAAATTCACATAAAATCACATTTTGTGTTAAATTGGTATCTTTGACCGATCATAGCACAAAAACGAACACACGGACATATACATTTTTTTGCATTTTCTACTATGCCATTATCTCCTTTTTCCAAAAATCAATATAAGAAAAAAAGTTTAATACAGGAATTTTTTGACTTCTCAGAGGTGTACATCCTTAAGTTAATCACATTCTTGTTATGAGATAAATGCAACATCTAAAACAATTACACGTAATAGTTTGTCATAAAATCAACTGTTAAACAATTTAAGTAACAGTCTTTACGAAAATTCTAAATGGACTTTAAAATGTTTTTGAAAAAAACTGGAAATGTTTTGAAATATCAATGATGGATTCGAATGGAACCGACTGATGACAATTAGAGGCTTTTATTGCTACTTAAAATACATTCAAGGCACTCTTTTGTATTGTAATGATCTATGGTCGTTTATTGCTTAAAAGCAGGTTATGTAGGTATATTGTTATCAACATGTCAGGAATTAAGACTTAGAGCTGATGATTGCTCTCCATATATATAAAACGCAAAGATATGGCCCTAATCAATACAAAACATCCTTCACTTTTCAGATCTAGGATATGAATGTTTATAGGAAAGAAGTGATTTAGTTAGGATTTTCGAGCGAGACAAAATAAGGGTACGGTGGGAAGAGCTCACGATCGTCATCATGCTGTGATAAACCACAATGCGATTTCAGAGTTTTGCATGATTAAAGTGACATAAAATCAATGCTCTGGATTTTGTTTGTGATCGACACATTTTCCTGTTGTTTTCTGTTTTGACCGAAGACAACGTGGTGGGTACCACATGTGGAGATCACGCGTATACCATTACAGGGCATTGTTTTCCAGGGATCTATGATGCCTTTCCTTTTGTGTTGGTGTCGTCTTAGTTACTTTTGATGTTGTTTTGTATCGGCATCATGTTGTTATACTATTTTATGTTATCATCATAGCTATACATGATTTTCTAAATTCTAGTATAATGAGCGTTTTTTGTTATCAATAGTTGTACCTTTCCTGTATGCGACACTCTGACATGTAGACATGTTTTAACATACCAGCTAAGTAGTCCCGTCAGACAAACGTCCATTGGTATATTTAAGCCAGTGATGGCCTTTCACGTCCACGCTTATTTGAGATAACTTCTTTGGATGGCAGGTACAGGCATTTCTTCTTAATCCAAAGAATCGTACTAACGTAGTCTATGTCATCGTTATTATTGTGCCATTTATTTGACGTTTAAACATTTGGCATCATATTTTGCGCATTTTCAGCTTTTCCCTACGGTACACTCCTGTGTGCATGCAATGTACTCTCTTTATACTGTTAATTCAACAGTGAACAAAACATATCTGATAAGGTATATCTATTAAGATGATAATAATTGCTTCAAATGTAGTTCGTAAATATATAAAGACAAGAAAGCGTTACTGGGTCTCGTCGTCGTCGTGGTACGTGTTTACTAGCAGTGTATTGTCTCACGTTAAAGCCTGGATGTTGTGCTATTTCGGTCATAGCATTGTTAACTATCGACCGTCCTAAGAGGTAACATCAAGCTGGATATTTGCTTCAGGTCATGTCGTTATCAACTACGCAAACTTTAGTTAGACATTTACAATTTCAGTATCCGCCCGAATTCAAGCTAAAGAATACTATATAAACAATACCTATATTATTACCACTGTTACTACTTTTAAGACCCTTCCCAATGATTTCTTTTTATCGCATTTTGCCATGCATTTAACAGAATTATGGTTGTTCGAAATTTGAATATTTGAAAATAGAAATAAGACCAAGGAGTGTCAAATCTAAGGGCTACAAAGCATATTACAATCAGTTAACAGGGGAAGTTACTCTAAGCCAGGAAATCACTCCTTTTAGATGCTTCATCTTTTATAGAGAATATTCAAAGTCATAACAACTCCGAGTGGAACACTTTCTTGCAGTTATATACAGTAATACCCTTTACCTTAAGGGTTTATTAACTCAGTAGCCCAAAGCGCATTCAACGTCTACTTTAATACATTTTCTTTCAGAAACAATTCCAACTTCATAATATCTTCAGAGGGAGATTTCAATAGGATTTATCTGAATGATTTTCATATCCCAAATGATGTTTGTGTTTGATACCCCTAAGTAATATGTAAGTTTCATATTATCACAATGACATTTGATTAATTCTATACTGAACCCGCTATTATGTAATATTTATGTAGCCGTATAACTTAATTATACATACTTCTATTCGATATCTATTCTACCTAGTGGCGTTGAAATTGACCTCCATATTATCGGTACGTCACACAATAAGGTGGTGTCAGTGACATCGCATGAAACTACTACAGGCCTGGTATTATAATGAACTACTGATCGAATGTATGCTCACTGTATATACGTCTGGATTGGTCTATTCATCGCGCTGTCAAACTGACTGATCTTTAAAACTTCCTGGTTTAAGTTTAAAACCTAACTACTGCCAAACGACTAACAATCATTCCGAATAAAAACTTGACTTATCCACATCATGCGTCTGTTTGCTCGAATGATCGTCGTTTTCCATTTGGGGATTGGTATGTATTATACTTTTTTCATTTATTAAATTCACATTGGAAATCTTCACTTAGAACTTGTTTATTCCGTACATAACTCATATTTAAGTATCACTTTACAAAAAATCATTTTTTATAATAATCAAAATGTATTTACTTCGTAAGGTTTATAGTCCATTTACCCCCTCGCATCTTGTTTAGAAAAGAAAGTGTTTGTACCAGCAGTAAAGTTATTTTCATTTTCAACTCTGAGACAAATATGCAGACTAGTTCGGTTCTAATATGGGCGCTGTTTACTTGGACTAGCTGTTTGACATACCTTCTGAACACGAATGACTTAGTTTATTTAATATGTACTGCTACATTGCACATAGTAGAGTCGTTAAAACCATGACGAGTCCGACAAGGTAACAGACATGTCACCAACCCTACTGGTTTCTGGACATATAGAACGTCCATCTTCACATTTATAATGCTCCCTTACATATCAATATCTACAACTTATTTTTGCTTTCCTTAGCGTTACCTATCAACTAATAATGTTGTTATTATCCCATAGCAGAAAGGACCATTACACGTGAAGATTTACAAATCGGAAACTATTCGTCTTTCCGTCAAACTGTTTAAATAATGAGGGACCAATCATGACGTACGTCAACTTCATATCATGACGGAAATTCCCGAATAGTTTCCATGGTTCACTTTTAACGTTCGTGCCTGACGGAACTGGTAATCATAAACAGCACGTCGTTGTTCCCGACACGATAACATGTATGATGGTATGCATCGCAGTCCGTACTAACATATTCTCTAAGATGCGCTACCACGCATGACAGAATATGTTTAAACAGAACTGTGTTGCATATCGTTTGGACTTTGACTAGGACGAATACAATGCATTCAGTGCATGGCAGATCCACACCATATTTATATAGAAGGACTGTACACATGATGAACATGTATTGTTGAAGTATTGTATAATGTTTTGGCGGGCGTCCACTATAATTAGTAGCTAGTGTATTATTTTACCGCTTCAGGTCTGTCCAGGTACTTGATTATCCGCTAGAGAAAACCGCAAAGAGTTACGTGTTGTTGTGCCTCTTTACTACATTACGTGTCCACATAAACGCAGAACAAAGGGCGAACAACTCAGGTGCATTAACTTTGAGAAAATACCAGGCACTGTAAATGCTGATATGAATAGTGAACCTGAGAATGTAATTTATGGTCAAACAAACAGTGATCTCAGAACACGTACGTGTACCAATGGCAATGTTCGAAAATTAAATGCATATACATTTATCCTTGAATGTGGATAATTTAATAAACAACCTATCTATCAATCCTTTTTATTCGACAGATCATTTCATTGCCTTGAGAATTGTATGGATATATTAATGACACATCCAAACGCACATATCAGTACTTACAAAAAGGCAGCACACAAAGTGCTGCATTTGTTATTCTTAGGTTTTACTCTATTGACTGTTGTTTATATACAATATACACCATATGCTGTTGTTTATATACAATATACTCAATTGTCTGTTGTTTATATACAATATACTCCATTGTCTGTTGTTTATATACAGTATATTCTATTGTCTGTCGTTTATATACAATATACACTATTGTCTGTTGTTTATATACAATATACTCCATTGTCTGTTGTTTATATAGAATATACTCCATATGCTGTTGTTTATATACAATATCCTCCATTGTCTGTTGTTTATATAAAAACTACATTATCTGTTGTTTATATACAGTATAATCCATTGTCTGTTGTTTATATACAAGATAATCCATTGTCTGTTGTTTAAATACAATATACTCCATTGTCTGTTGTTTATATACAATATACACCATTGTCTGTTGTTACTGGAAAATTTACTCAATGGTCTGTTTTTGATAGATAATATACTACATTGTCTGTTGTTTATACATGATTTACTCAACTGTATGTTGTTTATAGATAATATATTCCATTGTCAGTGGACGATAACCTCTGAATGTAACCGAGTTAGAATTAAGGAAAAAATTCGTACAGCAATAACAGCAAATACATAATAATTTATATTAAACAAAAATATCATCAGAGAAAAAGATAAGCGTGCCTGCCTCTTCTTTGCTTGTTTAATTAAGGGTCGTTCACCAATATTTATTGTTTTTGTTTACCTGTGAATCTACAAGTTAAAATAGAAATATACTATATATGTATAAAGCTCGTGCTGCACGCGTTTACTTGTTTGTGAAACATGTTATTGATGTTCAAAGTTATAATCAATTGAACACCGGCATTATCAACTCGTGTTAAACTACAGGCGTAATAATACTACGTTGTATTTTGTGTAATAATACTACGTTGTACATTGTGTAATAATACTACGTTGTACTTTGTGTAATAATACTACGTTGTACTTTGTGTAATACTACTACGTTGTACATTGTGTAATAATACTACGTTGTACATTGTGTAATAATACTACGTTGTACTTTGTGTAATAATACTACGTTGTACATTCTCTAATAATACTACGTTGTACATTGTCTAATAATATTACGTTGTACATTGTGTCATAATACTACGTTGTATATTGTGTATATATAAGTATATGCTTACTGAAATGATATCATAATTTGAGGCTTTAGAGTAATTATCGGTTTACGGATTCAATGTTATATACTTTCTCATTTCGACTCTAAAGTAAAATGTGATTTAACTTGTTTAGTTTTAATTTTTCGTTGATATCGTTCCAGTGTCCCTTCAGTCACTAAACGAGAGAACAGTGCAGGACACGGCTTGTTTCGGCACTGGGGATCACTCTCTCATTGACGCAAACTGCTCCTCGACAGAAAAAATATTCCCAATACAACTGAATGCGGGCGCTAAGTTGAGCACTAGCGCCTGTCCCTTAGAAATGGAGTCGAATGCAACAGATCTTTTGGTCCAGCAGTGCTGCCTCCCGGACACAGCGCAGGATTGCGTGGCACTCGTGAACACGTATGTACCCGACATAGCATCTGACTATTTGGAAACTTGTGTCGGCAGAGAGGCGTGTTTGAGACGCCAAGCATTTAGGATGGACGTACTTAGTATTCCTACGTGTAACTCTAGCGCCTTTCCTCCACAGACACATTACCTATACCTCGACTATTACTGTGTTCCAGGTGAGTCAAATAGCCAGCTTATAATTCATGTCACTTCAAAGGAGATTACGTAATTGCCGATCCTACTTGATTGGTAAGATTACATGAATGATTGAACATATTATTGAAAAATGTTATTAGCATAATTTACCTTTATCAAAATGCTACATTGTATGTTAATATCTTTTAATACACAAGGACAACATCGGATCTCCATAAGGGCAAAACCAAATTTATAAACAACATCCATAACAAGCAGATAGCGTAACTATTTGTTCTTAATTTGAAAGTGATCCATGCGTCACATGTGACAAACGTTATCACAAATAAAATGGCAGATATATAACATCATGTCTGATAAGATTATATTGATCACATGACAGGAAAATAAAGCATCGTGTCGTCTGCATGTCTCTTAAAAATAGGCAAGTTCCATCACATACGAGTTCCAGTTGACTGAAGAAGGCAATAACAAATTGGACTTGAAACTAATCATCTTTACTGTTGTTTAATTGTTTAAGTATTTAGTATAAGATGCACCCTGTAGACAATAAAGTCACCCAGCAAAAGTTTTCGATGTAAAGGTCACACCTACCCCGAATATACTGGAATATATATCAGTCCCTCGAGCTGCAAATAGACCGTGACATGTATCACATATCATAACAAAGTAAATCACCTGGACCTAATTATGCTCTTCATGTTTTAGAATCAAAGATTGGGCGTTTCCCGACTGCTGATTTGACCAATGACGGAGTAGGGTCCCTCATATATCTCCAAGGCAGCACGTATCCCTTACAAATCGTATCCACGACTGTCACGTGTTCTTTGGAAACAGATTGTTCCGAGAACATAGTCATATACGGACTTCACGTGAACTTTGAACTTGACAATGTGACGTGTAACCAGGCAATGGTGATGAACGATACTAGTGGTACTCTGTATACCGTTGGTTGTTCCGACAACGACGCCGTATCAGGGCACAGACTCCGTACCCTAGCAACCAGTAACCACAACTACATGGAAATCTACTACAACAGCCTCACCTCCAACCAAGGATTGTTCTGGCTGGCATTCCACGGTTTGTACCAATTCGGTCGATTCTGTATGTCTTCTAGATTGATATTATTTATTTTACTGTTACTACTAGATGACTGAATGCCCTATATACTTTGAAATTATACGACAACAAAAAGTATCACTTGACAATTAATATGCCGAACATATTATCCAAAATAATATTGTGATTGGTATATATTAATGTGCCATTATTGGCATGTATGTAAGACAGTTATAATTCCACTTTCACATACATACAATACGCCCGTCCTGATCTGCGATACATTGCATTATTTATATTAATTGTTTCTCCGATTTTAATTATCAGATTGTATCTACATGTATCTATACATAGCAACAAATTTCTTTAGGCGACATGATCTTTCTTGCGAGTTCTCATATTTATGTACATTGGAAGCATTTTGACAGCTTCTGGCAATTTATCACATACCTATGTAATCTTGACAGGTTCTGGCAATTTAACACTTAATTGTCCTCGACGAGATCCCATAAATCAATGTCTAACAACAACAGAGATGACGACGACAACAACAGAACCGACGACGACAACAACAGAACCGACGACGACAACAACAGAACCGATGACGACAACAACAGAACCGACGACGACAACAACAGAACCGATAACAACAACAACAGAACCGATGACGACAACAACACCAGAGCCGACGACAACAACACCAGAGACGACGACAACAACAACTACTTCTTCACCGCCATCAACCGGGGCTTCTTCTGCTGACGGAGGTTATTATGTCAAAAGATATTTTTGTTAACATACGTCAATGAACATTATTTGACGAATTATAAATACTTCAATAAATGAGGATATCCCCGTTAACAACACTTTGTTCGGCCTTTATAATAGTGAATGTAGATGTTTAGCCTGTCACATGGATAATGCTGGTTTAAGTGATGCAGCTAAGGTAATAAAGTCACAAAAGGCACATGGATAATGCTTGCAGGATCGTTCTATAGAACACAAAGCTTCATTGACTTGGTTAAGAATAAGTACTAGTAGTCTACCTCATTCATAAGAATAAGAAGGAGTGCATTATCTATATTTGGGTACATATTACTGCTTTATATATTACAGCTTTTACGATATGTAATTGCATAAACCAAATGTGTTTTTTCAACTTGTTGTGGCAATAAAATACTATTCGTATTTGCGATTTTGTATCATACATTTGGTTGCAATGATTCCTAAATGAAAAATATAACAATATGATATGTATCGTTCTATGTCGTATTGTTCAGTATGCTACATCGTAGCTTATGCATCTAATTCCGACTTGTGTGAGGAGCAGAGTATATTGATGACGACAATGTCTTCTTATTCTTTATTAAAATAGCAGGCAATGGGAAAAAAAAACTTTTCATATCCCCTCTCTCCTCTTCATTACTATCCTGTTATCTTTTAGGTTCCACAACTATGATTATCATGATCGTCGTGGTTGTCGTCGTCCTCCTCATCCTCGCCCTCGTTGCTGTGCTGATCTACTTCAAATGTTATAAGGTATGATGATTACGCTGAACACAGAAATCGGTCATCAATCATTTGTTATCTAGTCTACTAGTGCAGTTATCTGTCGTGTACAGCTTGTTATTTGTATATAACTGCCGTAACTACATATAAGATATCTTGTCATATATTTGCATTACCAATATATATAGTTGAAGGATTATTATCACCTCTACATGTTTAACATTACGGTAGGTAAAGGGATAACCTGTGTTTGCCAGGCTTCGAGTCATATATATTTTATTATCTATATTGAATACACATAGTGCATTGCATAACTAGCGATATAACTCATATCGACTGTGTGGCCATCTCCTACCGATAGAAAGGTTGAACTGTTCGTTCAATTGTTGAGTGTTCTGTGTCCTTACATGTACCACAGCTAGGGTCATAAGGTCGTATGAAGTTAATGTCTATAGAGGAGGAGCACCCAAGGACCAATGGCATTAGTCATATCACTGGTATTTTATTCAGTCACATTCTTATGCAAATGGGCCGGATTACAAGAAGAAGAAAAGAAAAGAAAGAAGTCACGGGTGTCGCAATTGCAGCAGCATATATGATCAGTTTGCTTTTCAATGTCACCTGAACAAAAGACATAGACGAAAGCCCCAAAATACGCAGGGGCTCATAGACGTCGCACCCCACGTTTCAGATTCAGAGGGTTTATTCTTTCTCACCCATACGTTTGTACAAATGGTACTTCATGCATTTAATGTACATGATTGATTCCTGCTATTTACCCTGAAATAACATCCCAAACATCCGTTGATTGTCACAGTTGAACTAATTACCTTACAAATATATGGCTTCGTTAAGGATATGATATAATATTTTATTGCTCTTTAGAAAAAAGGTGATAGTACGGGTGATGTGGAGGAATGTGCTGATAAAAAGGATAGCAAACTGAAACAGGAAGAACATTCCTTACCAGAAATATCTACACCGGACGTGAAAGAGCAGGTATTTGTTCAATTCATGAAAGAAGCTGCTAGCGATAAGATCACACATAAACAAAAGCTAGAGACAGTGTCACAAGTTAACAGATGCTGGCGATAAGGTCACACATTAACTGAGGCTAGCGATAAGGTCACACATTAACAGAAGCTAGCGATAAGGTCACACATTAACAGAGGCTAGCGATAAGGTCACATATTAACAGATGCTAGCGATAAGGACAAACATTAACAGAGGCTAGCGATAAGGTCACAAATTAACAGAAGCTTGCAATAAGGTCACACATTAACAGAAGCTAGCGATAAGGTAGCACACTTGTCCTGAACGGCCCTGTAGATTTGGACTAAATTTGGTCTGGAGCATCCTTAGGCCCAGGGGACTCAATTTTGTATAAGTGATGGGTCTGGCCCTCCCTGAGGCTGAGGAGCGGGGCCCAATAGGGGAAATATAGTAAATTCTTTAAAATCCTTCTTCTTCTGTAGGAATGAAAGGATTTGTTCCATATTTGGTCTGAAGAATCCTTGGGTGAAGGGGAACCAATTTTTATAAACCGTGGGTCTGGCCCCCAAGGGGCCTGATGGGTGGGACCCAATAGGGGAAACATAGCAAATTATTATTTAAAACCTTCTTCTTCAGTAGGAATGAAAGGATTTGGTCCATATTTGGTCTGAAACATTCTGGGGTCAAGGGGAACCAATTTTGTATAAACGGTGGGTCTGTCCCCCTTGGGGCTGAGGGGTGGGGCCCAATAAGGGAAATATAACAAATTCTTTGACCATCATGATTAAGGGATTATATCCTTATTTAGTCTGGAGCATCATTTGGCCAAAGGAACTCAAGTTTGTTCTCGCTATATCTCAAGGACTGGATGGATCGTTCTGAAATTTCATATGTACTTACATCACCTACCATGGAGTGCTATGTCTTTACTTCATACCAATTATATTAAACATATTCAGGTGAGCGATACATGCCCTCTGGGCCTATTGTTACAATTTTAGATTCTATTGCTATGTTTATTTTATTATGTCTTTTCGTAGATAACACTGCACACAACCTTAACATATGAACTTAGTATACAGGGATAGTACGTCGTATGTAGGTACTATTTTTATTTACACATTTTTGCCTGGAGTAACATCTCTCTTCAGATATCTTTTGAATATATTTTTGGTACTACTGCTAGAACCCTCTTCAAGGAATTCCTTCTTGTAAAGTTACGTATTGAGGAATTATTTTTTATAGTTGACTTACATTGACCTTGCCTACGGGAACCATACATCGTTATCTATATTGGTCCTTTTTGTATTTTTCGATTGCCTAGCCTCAGCCTGAAAGTGAGAGAGAAACCAAAACACAGATAGGTGATGTCGGAGCATTTGGCAACAAATTACCAACTTTATCTATAGATAATGGCAATGTCCAACCACCGGACAACATATTACCAACTTTATCTATAGATGATGGCAATTTCCAACAACCGGGCAACATATTACCAACTTTATCTATAGATAATTGCAATGTCCAACAACCGGACAACATATTACCAAATTTATCTATAGATAATGGCAATATCCAACAACCGGACAACAAATTACCAACTTTATCTATAGCTAAGGGCAATGTCCAACCACCGGACAACGTATTACCAACTTTATCTATAGATAATGGCAATGTCCAACAACCGGACAACATGCAGGAGAAGAAGAAAAAGAAGAAAAAGAAAAAGAGAAAAAGGAAGTCTCGGTCAGCAGAAAACAACGAGGACTTTTTACACTGCGATGAGGTGCAACCGGGGGCATCGAATATTTTCACAACGGAAGAAAATGTCGAAGAAAATCTAAAAAAGAAAAGAAAGAAACATAAAAAATATGATAATCGTATTTCTCCGGAACACTCCTGTGGACCCGATGTTATACCTCCCCCAAATCATGTTGACAACCACGCAACTGACGGTAATCAGTCGAACAAGAAGAAAAGGCGAAAGAAGAAAAAGAAACTGCGGGAAAGCATGAATGCTGATGGTGAGGACACAGGTGCACGTGACACAGACGAAACATTACGTACCGGTGATTCAGTAATAGAATAATTTAGTTGTTGTCTTCTCAAAATTAATTTCTACAGAAAGTCGGATCACTATGTTTTGGGGATGTTTTCTTATGATGACAACAGTGTTTCATAAATTCATGTTCCCTTTACTGCACTTATAATTCGTGTTCTTAAGTCAAGTTTGTCTTATATCTATATAAACATACATCATTCTTGTGGCATTATTTATGTCTGAGTTTTTTTATTCTCGAGTGCTTGTTTTCTATTATTCTTTACTATAGTTATTTATTTAAATAGTTCATCAAGTAAATCTGCTGCATTTATCTCTATATAAAATGTATTCACTCATGCAAATAGTTTACAATTGTATGCTCAAAAAGTATTTATATAATATGTACCACTGTTTCCTACCGATTTACTGTATAATAAAACATGTGTGATGTTCGTGCCAGTGCTGAACATGCTAATGCATCAGTTTGTTAATAGACTCGCTTCTTCCAAGTTTTTTTTTTCAAATCTTAAACTTAGAAGTCCTGGTTGCCTGGTTCGAGTCGTACGTATGTATCCTGTGTTGCAACAGACGATAACGGATCACCAGATACACGTCACTGCTAACAAACATATCCACTGCTACCATCAAGTGTGTTCATAGTGTTTGATTGAGAAAACGTTTAGTAAGTTATATAACTCCATAATGTGGACCATCATTAGCCATGTCGCAGCATAAAGAACCAATTAGTGCTGTAGCTGTAGACACTGATTCGGCGGTCCCAATAATCAAACAATCGAACGCAATTGTCGTACACTGATATATATGACAATCATATGGATAATTCGTGTTTAAATCGTAGGATATATCAATGGAAAAAGTCACGAACCATCGAGATGCTGAAAAACAATCTATACAGACTATAAAATGAATTTGATAAACGATATATTATAAATATCTACAGACATAGCCTTAGTATGAATCAAATATGCTAACTTTGTTATGATATCTGTTTATGTACATATATGTTGAAGGTTGTAGGGAGGATATTGATAGGAGGGATAGTATTGATAGATACACAGCTGGTAGAGGGAACAGTGGTTATGAAGGAGGACATAATAGTTCTGTTTTAATACCATCTCACAGAAAAGCATTTTATAACGTTTGAAACCGGGAATATATATAAAAGGATAATGTTAGAAGGAGTAATTAGTGGAACAGCCAAAACCATTAACAAGCACCTTCCGTTTTTAAGTCTTTAGTAGATATGTCTGTATATGGTCCGACTAGGTCTGTCATAGATATGTCTGTATATGGTCTGACTAAGTCTGTCATAGATATGTCTGTATATGGTCCGACTAAGTCTTTAGTAGATATGTCTGTATATGGTCCGACTAAGTCTTAAATAGATATGTCTGTATATGGTCCGACTAAATCTTTAATAGATATGTCTGCATATGGCCCGACTTAGTCTTTACTAGATATGTCTACATATGGCCCGACATAGTCTATCATAGATATGTCTGTAAATGGTCTGACTAAGTCTTTAATAGAAATGTCTGTATATGGTCTGACTAAGTCTATAATAGATATGTCTGTAAATGGTCCGACTAAGTCTGTCATAGATATGTCTGTATATGGTCCGACTAAGTCTGTCATAGATATGTCTGTTTATAGTCCGACTAAATCTTTAATAGACATGTTTGTATATGGTCCGACTAAGTCTATAATAGATTTGTCTGTATATGGTCCGACTAAGTCTTTAATAGATATGTCCTTTATATGGTCCGACTAAGTCTGTCATAGATATGTCTGTAAATGGTCCGATTAAGTTCCTAATAGATATGTCTGTATATGACCCGACTTAGTCTATCATAGATATGTCTGTATATGGTCTGACTAAGTCTTTAAAAGATATGTCTGTAAATGGTCTGACTAAGTCTTTAATAGGTATGTCTGTATATGGTCCAAATAAGTCTATCATAGATATGTCTGTATATGGTCCGACTAAGTTTTTAATAGATATGTCTGTATACAGTCCGAATAAGTCTTTAAAAGATATGTCTGTATATGGTCCGACTAAGCCTTTAATAGATATGTCTGTATATGGTCAGACTAAGTCTTTAATAGATATGTTTGTATATGGTCAGACTAAGTTTTTAATAGATATGTCTGTATATGATCCGACTAAGTGTTTAGTAGATATGTCTGTATATGGTCCGACTAAGTTTTTAATAAATATGTCTGAATATGGCCCGACTTAGTCTATCATAGATATGTCTCTAAATGGTCCGACTAAGTCTATAATAGATATGTCTGTATAGGGTCCGACTAAATCTTTAATAGATATGTCTGTATATGGTCCGACTAAGCCTTTAATAGATATGTCTCTATATAGTCCGACTTCGTCATTAATAGATATGTCTGTATATGGTCTGACTAAGTCTTTAATATATATGCCTGTATATTTTCCGATTAAGTCTTTAATATATATGTCTGTATATTTTCCGACTAAGTCTGTCATAGATATGTCTGTATATCGTCCGCCTAATCCTTTAATAGATATGTCTCTATATGGTCCGACTAAGCCTTTAATAGATATGTCTGTATATGCTCAGACTAAGTCTTTAATAGATATGTTTGTATATGGTCAGACTAAGTGTTTAATAGATATGTCTGTATATGATCCGACTAAGTGTTTAGTAGATATGTCTGTATATGGTCCGACTAAGTTTTTAATAAATATGTCTTAATATGGCCCGACTTAGTCTATCATAGATATGTCTGCAAATGGTCCGACTAAGTCTATAATAGATATGTCTGTATAGGGTCCGACTAAGTCTTTAGTAGATATGTCTGTATATGGTCCGACTAAGGCTTTAATAGATATGTCTCTATATAGTCCGACTTCGTCATTAATAGATATGTCTGTATATGGTCAGAATAAGTCTTTAGCAGATATATCAGATATGTCTCTATATGGTCCGACTAAGTCTTTAATAGATATGTCTGTATATATATATGGCCCGACTTAGTCTATCATAGATATGTCTCTAAATGGTCCGACTAAGTCTATAATAGATATGTCTGTATAGGGTCCGACTAAATCTTTAATAGATATGTCTGTATATGGTCCGACTAAGCCTTTAATAGATATGTCTCTATATATTCCGACTTCGTCATTAATAGATATGTCTGTATATGGTATGACTAAGTCTTTAATATATATGCCTGTATCTGGTCTGCCTAAGTCTTTAATATATATGTCTGTATATTTTCCGACTAAGTCTGTCATAGATATGTCTGTATATGGTCCAACTAAATCTTTTATAGATATGTCTGCATATGGCCCGACTTAGTCTTTACTAGATATGTCTACATATGGCCCGACATACTCTATCATAGATATGTCTGTAAATGGTCTGACTAAGTCTATAATAGATATGTCTGTATAGGGTCCGACTAAGTCTTTAGTAGATATGTCTGTATATGGTCCGACTAAGGCTTTAATAGATATGTCTCTATATAGTCCGACTTCGTCATTAATAGATATGTCTGTATATGTAAGTCTGTCATAGATATGGCTGTATATGGTCTGACTAAGTCTTTAATATATATGCCTGTATCTGGTCTGCCTAAGTCTTTAATATATATGTCTGTATATTTTCCGACTAAGTCTGTCATATATATGTCTGTATATGGTCCGACTAGGTCTGTCGTAGATATGTCTGTATATGGTCCAACTAAATCTTTAATAGATATGTCTGCATATGGCCCGACTTAGTCTTTAATAAATATGTCTGAATATGGCCCGACTTAGTCTATCATAGATATGTCTCTAAATGGTCCGACTAAGTCTATAATAGATATGTCTGTATAGGGTCCGACTAAATCTTTAATAGATATGTCTGTATATGGTCCGATTAAGCCTTTAATAGATATGTCTGTATATGCTCAGACTAAGTCTTTAATAGATATGTTTGTATATGGTCAGACTAAGTGTTTAATAGATATGTCAATAGATATGTCTGTATATGATCCGACTAAGTGTTTAGTAGATATGTCTGCATATGGCCCGACTTAGTCTTTACTAGATATGTCTACATATGGCCCGCCATAGTCTATCATGGATATGTCTGTAAATGGTCTGACTAAGTCTTTAAAAGATATGTCTGTAAATGGTCTGACTAAGTCTTTAAAAGATATGTCTGTAAATGGTCTGACTAAGTCTTTAAAAGATATGTCTGTAAATGGTCTGACTAAGTCTTTAAAAGATATGTCTGTAAATGGTCTGACTAAGTCTATAATAGATATGTCTGTATAGGGTCCGACTAAATCTTTAATAGATATGTCTGTATATGGTCCGACTAAGCCTTTAATAGATATGTCTGTATATGCTCAGACTAAGTCTTTAATAGATATGTTTGTATATGGTCAGACTAAGTGTTTAATAGATATGTCTGTATATGATCCGACTAAGTGTTTAGTAGATATGTCTGTATATGGTCCGACTAAGCCTTTAATAGATATGTCTGTATATGGTCCGACTAAGTCTGTCATAGATATGTCTGTATATGGTCCGACTAGGTCTGTCATAGATATGTCTGTATATGGTCCAACTAAATCTTTAATAGATATGTCTGCATATGGCCCGACTTAGTCTTTACTAGATATGTCTACATATGGCCCGACATAGTCTATCATAGATATGTCTGTAAATGGTCTGACTAAGTCTATAATAGATATGTCTGTATAGGGTCCGACTAAGTCTTTAGTAGATATGTCTGTGTATGGTCCGAATAAGTCTGTCATAGATATGTCTGTATATGGTCTAACTAAGTCTGTCATGGATATGGCTGTATATGATCTGACTAAGTCTTTAATATATATTTCTGTATATTTTCCGACTAAGTCTGTCATAGATATGTCTGTATATGGTCCGCCTAAGTCTTTAAAAGATATGTCTCTATATAGTCCGACTTCGTCATTAATAGATATGTCTGTATATGGTCAGAATAAGTCTTTAGCAGACATATCTGTATATGGTCCGACTAAGTCTTTAATAGATATGTCTGTATATGGCCCGACTTAGTCTATCATAGATATGTCTGTAAATGGTCCGACTAAGTCTTAAATAGATATGTCTACATATGACCCGACTTAGTCTATCATAGATATGTCTGTATATGGTCCGACTAAGTCTTTCATAGATATGTATGTATATGGTCCGACTAGGTCTGTAATATATATGTCTGTATATGGTCCGACTAGGTCTGTAATAGATATGTCTGTATATGGTCCGACTAAGCCATACTCCATTCTCAATTCTTAATTACTTTGTAGTAGTTGTAGAAGTTAATCGTTAGGTAGAATAGCAAAACAATGCACAATACGTCGGTCATTTGTAGTTATCTATCTCACGATATATACATGTTATAACCTGAACGTGAACCCCTGTCTGATGGTGATAGTTACCCGATATGTGAAGTCACTGCAAAATATTTTAGTCAGTCTATCATTGCATGATATGAAATCACAAAACAACTAGGTATTGCATTAGGTGT